TGATGTGTACACTTCTGGCCCCGCAGCTCCCCCGGCCTCTGCGCCGCCGCGGAAAGAGACACTTCCTGCCTTCATCCAGCCCACGGGGTTGACAGGGCTGCCCCACCACACAACTGAGACCTTTAGATGTTGTGGAGGGGAAAAATTGACACCTCTCTGCAAGCCGGCTTCAGGCAGCCGGAGCCCAGGTTTCAGCCCAGCCTGGTGAGCTGTGTGCCTGTGTCTGACCTGGGGCGGAGGGGGTGTGTGAAAGAGCCCTCACCAGCGACCAGCAAGCAATTGCGATAACTGTGACAGTAAAACTACAGCCAGCTCGGAGCATGGGATTATTTCACAGCAGAAACTAAACCTTATTCAGTTTTTTTCTCTCTAAGAATTTTGCTGGCACTCTGATAGAAGACTCCTATTGTAGTTTTTGTAATCATGCAAAGTAGAACATGATATAAGCCTAATAGGCTTTGACCATTGTTTTCAACTACAGCACAGCCAGCTTTACATAGTGTTTACAGTGTGTAACACGGTCTATTTTGTATTTTATTTTAAAGATGCACTTTGATAGTAATTATATGCATCTGCTAAAAAACTAAGCATCAAATGGATTATGCAGAAACACAGAAGTAGTTGGTAGCTAAACCTTGGGTTTGTTTATAGCTCTGTGATGTACTTGTACAGGAGCCTGCTATTTATACCATGAACAGTTCCATGTAAAAAAAAAACAGAAAAGTCAACTAAGATTGGGAGTTTATTTTTTAAATGGTCAGACTATGAACTGTCTGTGCCAGTCAGCAGAAAAGTTTCTTAATAACCTTTTCTTGGCCTTAGTGCATCTCTGTCCATTTTCTGTGTCTGCACGTGAACGTTCAGATTCCATAAGGAAAGCTCCTTTAAGATTGCAAAGCGGCTCACAGTCCAGTTGCAACGCAGTCTGCTTCGCCTCCCGTGAGCTGAACCAATAGCCTGGGTCAGCAGGAGCACACTCAGCACAATGAAGAGCAATCAAGTGTGGGAATGTCAGGTTTCGGTGGAGTTCCTGCTGAAAGGTGCGATCTTAACAGCTTAGCAGCCATAAAACGGACAAGGTCTGAACTGTGCAATTTGTTAATAATTCCCCCACATGGCAGCGCTCTGTTTTCCAACCCAATAAACAAAAACAAAAACGTTTGGAGCTTCTTATTGCGAGGAGACAACTGCCAAGCGGCCTTTGGACGCCTTGGGGAAAGCAGTTCATTTGTGCTGAAGTAGAAAGAAGATGGCTGTAATGAAAACTGACTGCAGACTAGGGATAAATAAGAAGAACAGACAACAAGATACACTAATGTCTGTCTCTGTGGAGCTTGCTGTTCCGCACACACAACTTGTAACCCAGCACAGTTACTTCAGACCATGGCTTTTGTCTAAAACTACAGAATCCACTGATTCCTATCTGATTAGTCTGCTATTCTGAGACTGATGTTTTGGGGCATTTTTTCTTTTACATTTTTAGTTGCAGAATTACTGTAGAGACCTACAGTATATTGCTTGACTGGTCCCTCCCTTGACAATCTTTTTATAATATGTGGAGCTCAGCAGCATCTGAGTTTAAATGGAGTGTTAAAATGCTTGCAGAAAGGAGTTCATGCATATTCATAGCCATTTGAAATCAGGTGAGGAATGAGCTGTAGTAGTGTCTGTCATGAAAAAGGCTTGGTGTAGATTTTGAAGACTGAAGCTTCTTGCTTATTTCCATGCAGAATGTGAGTTGTTTGTGCTTCCTATGATGTTAACTAACCATGACCCCCAAACTATGAAATACCCAATCTCTTGTTGATGCAGGAGTATGTGTCCTTACTGTCAGGGCAGCTGTGGAGTTTTAATTCTCTTCTCTCTTCTCCTAAAAGACCTAAAAGAATCACTTACTATAGGTCTGCAACAGTAACATTTTCTGATTAAGAAAAATTATAGGCAGAACAGAAATGCTTTTTCATTAGTCCAAAACAATGCAAGTTTTTCTTTTTGACTCTGAAATGCCCAGTTTAGCGAAGGATTGTAGTGCACACATGACCGAAAAGGATAATTGAGTGTCAGCATCATTTTGGTGTGGAGTGAGGCAGTTGTATTATTATTTCAAGGCCTGGTTGAAAGTGCGAATAGATTGTGATTTGCAGCAGTGCTTTCAGCACATGTTCAGAGCTCACTGCAATGAGCTGGCAGGGCCAGTGACATAGCAGCCTTTGAGAAGAAATTGCTGGATGGATCAGATCAGTTAGCTAGTAACTACCAAATGTGCTACTGTAGATGGCTGAATGGCCTCCTGTCGTTGGTGACCTTTCTTATGATCTTATGTTCTTTGATCCTACTGACAGATAAAGTAGTTTTATCTTAAAGTGAGTCTGGAGCTTCTGTCGGTTGTGCCTCTGAGGCAGACTGTCATTCCATTAATTGATACACAGGTGAACTGGTCAACACCTTGTAGAAGGTCTGATGCACAAAGTGGCCATTTTGAATTCCTTCAAGTGTCTAGAAAACCCTTAATAAACCCTTAACTTGGACATATAAAGCTTTTACACACCATATGAAAAAAGGAGAGGATTCTTTTTCATTCATAGAAAGCTTTTATGCAACGCCAGTAGTGATTAAGTACAATTTATATAGAATTATATAGAAAAGAAAAACCCTCTTAGTCACAGAAATCAAATGAGGTTCACCCTGTAATAGAGTTTTAATTCCTTCAGTGCAGTTAACAGTATAGTTCTACAGTTTAAGAATCGTCTAGGTAGCTCAGATTTAACATGTTAACATTTGATCCTCAAACGACCCCCCTGAACAAACCATACGTGATGCCTGTCTAGAAATGCTCCAGAAATCTGCAGCTGAAACACGTATGAATGCTTGCAGGTGTTGTGCATTGCTCCTTTGTCTTGACTGTTAAGTACTCCACCTTGAAAAAGTCAAAGCCTCCAATGAACAGCTCAAGGTAAATATCACATTAGCTCTCAATATGAAGTAGGTTGAGTAGGTACAGTAGCTGTGTCAATATGAAGCGTTGTAGTAGCTAATCCTTCACATTTATCAATCAAATCATTTGTGATGATTGTCAGGTCTTCCTTGCAAAAAGCATAATATATTTCCATATCCACATCAATAAGGACTACTTTTTGTATTACACAAAAAATACAGATCTGCCAGGATCAACTGTTAGTTTAAAACAAAATAACTACAATTTCAGTGGAAGATCTTTATAGATTTGTTTTTTTAGAGTAGAACAATGCAAATGTCTAAGACATCTGCACAGCAGTGTGTGTCCTATAGGATCTTCCCTGTGGTTTTTTGAAGGAGTCCTAGGAATGTGAGGGCTATAGCACTGTGGTACTATAGTGTTTTTTAATGAGGAAATGAATGACAGACACTGCCAGCTCTCTGATCCCATTAAAGCACCGTGTGCAGCTGCTGTGACTCCACAGTATGGTGCTGCAGAAACAGAGTGTTTTTAGAACCCCTTGGAAAGCTTTAATTGTAGTTTCTGGGTATAAATCAAGGTCATTGTTGGTTGGAGTCTTTTATTACTGGACAGTACAGGCTCAAAAGATATCCTGATTAGGTTTGCAAGTATGTGATGTGTTGTTGGTGTTAGAATCCAAACACATTCACTTTTATTGCAGTTTTTGACAGCTGCATCCAAATGCCTTTCATGAGTGCATGCATGTAGCCTACAGTTTATATACAATTCACCTACATATGTGCATATATAATATAATGTAGCGCTCTCTGGTTCACGTGGGTATGCGCACACGCCGCTGCCCCCTCAGATCGGCCCCCCAACGATGGGGACTCTACCCAGAGACCCAGCCAGTTGAGCCAAAGGGAAATCTCCCGTCAGCCCGGCAGCTGCGGTCCCTGCCATTCACAGGGAAGGGCGGTGACGTCACTGCGCTGGTAAGCCGGCTCGAACAACCTGCAATGTCGGCCGTATGCGTTACAATATTATGAAAGCCTATATACTGTTGGTTCAGATTATTGCTGATATCTTTTCCTTAGTGAAAAACCTGCTTTGTAGAGGTTAATTCTCTTGAATTAAATTTGATTTTGGATTTTTTTTTCTTGCAAGTAACGTGGCTTTATAAGGCGATGTTTAGTGAAGTATTGCAGAAAGAAATGTTGGTTTTGGATCCTTTTAGGGTTTTCCTACTCAGATTCTAAGCAAGAGTTAGAACTCCATATGGTAAATTAATCCTGAAGAGCTTTTGTTAGGGAGAGAAGGTCATGCCTTACTGATCTTAAATTTTCAGTATGAAGAAACTGGAGATACATATACCCCTTATCTCCTCTTTTAATGCTGAAACAAACAAAAACAACAGTTATTTGCCTAAAGTGCCTTTAAAGCTGAGAGACAGAGTGCCCTCAAGTCCTGCTGGTAGGACACTTGGCATGTGTGTTGGTTCAGGTTATTGCTGAAGTTGTTATGCCCCTTCTATCCTATAGGCACTTTCTGAGTAAGTATCCTAGCCATGACCCCCTGCATGCAACCAACTGACACGAACAGGCTTTCTTATTGACCGTGGTCCTGGAGGGGAGTATACAGTACCAGCTGCGTCCATGTGTGAGATATCTTCGCGAGAGTTTTAAAATTATGCTACGTTTCTGACTTTCTGAGTCTGAACCTCAGGCCGACGTTGTGGAAACGAATAGGTCCTGAGGATGAAAGTGCAGTTGTTCAGCTGGCTTCAACATTCAGTTCATTTCCTTCAGATTTGCTCCTAAAGTCCAGGCTGACTATATCTGGAGGTCTTGCAGGGAACTAAATCAAGCTTCCCACGGCACAGCATTACCATTTCAGATTTTGGCAAATCTGTGGCTCTTGAAAACCACAAATGGATCACCAATATCCAAAGAGACGAAACTGAGAGTCTCTTTTGCCTTTTTTTTCATGTGTATGGTTTTTGTTTGACTCAACATTTAGATGCTTTGAAATGATCGGACTGATATCAGATATTCATTTAGACTTCTTTCTTCATGTCTTACAGGTGACGTTCACGAAGAGGAAGTTTGGTTTGATGAAGAAGGCCTACGAACTGAGTGTACTATGTGACTGTGAGATAGCGCTGATTATTTTTAACAGTTCAAACAAACTCTTTCAGTATGCTAGCACTGATATGGACAAAGTTCTACTGAAATATACAGAGTACAACGAGCCCCATGAGAGCAGAACCAACTCAGACATCGTGGAGGTAAGTGGGCAGCACCTTTAAACACAAATACGTGGGCCTTTGGTTCATGTCTAGGGCTAATCTGTGTTAACAACTGGAAATCTTGACTTTAGCAGTAACCATTCTGCATTTTGGGGGGAAATATCTGTCCTGGCAGATCTGGCTAGTTTGTGGTCATTAGGAAAAGGAACACTGAAGGCTTATCACAGTCACAATACTGGTGTTATATTAGACATATTAAAGAGCTGCAGCTCAGTAACTGCATTTGGTTTATTTGAGGGTTATGTACTGTATGTCTATAAATGCAGGTATTTAATGCATGGTTCTGTGTTGATCAAATTTACATAAGAGTCTGTGAATTGGGTCAGCTTGTTGAATGTAGAAATTGGATTTTACCTGTGATGTTCTTTGGGATTCAACTTCGGGAATGAGATTTGTTTCATATTTACATATAGCCTTAAGTTAATCAGGTCTTCCATTGTAGTTCTAATTTTCTAAGGAAGCCTAGTTTATCTTTTAAAGGTGAACAAGCAAGCTTTGTCCAGACCCCCAGAAGATTGGAACAAATTAAGGCAGTAATAGATTCTGATTTTCTTCTACTTAAAACAGATGAAACACAACAAGTATGAGATGTAAGGACCTAGTTAGTTTATTCCAACTCTGTCTCTTCTTTCAAGCTGGTTTTTAGTAACTTGGGAATATTGTCTGACTGAATGCTGCGATTTACCTAAAATGATTCAACCCAGGGAAGTTTTAGAGCAGCATTTTTTTCCAGTGTCTATGAATGTATTTGTAGAAGTTTAAAATTGCAATCATGGCAGAATGAATAGTACTGTAGTTCACATATTCTTCTCTCTAGCACAGGTTTTGAGAATTAGCTGAGGTTCATTCTGGATATTAAAATCTGGCATAAAAACTGGGCACAATTTACCTATGATTATGTGTTATTCCTTAACCAAAGAGCCGTTCTGACTTATTTTCCTAAGTCTGTTCCCACCTTTGAATTGCCTTCCCCAAGTATGTATAACACCCTGTGATACATTTCCACTTTACAGTGAATAGAAAGCTGTTTTCTTTCCACATCCAGATGTCTGACATGGCCTTGTAATTAAAAAAAAACACAAATCTCTTCCTCAACAGTTATACTGTTGGTAGGTTTTCTGCGTTGCCCACTCAAGCACCACTACTGTTACCACAGAAAATGCAGATAATTGGCTTTGCAGTGTTTTTTCAAAAGTAGAGAATTACCCCACAATATGCTATAAATCAAGCTCTATGATCTTTCGAGGGGTACCTTATTACCAATCCAGATACAGTTACTGTAAAGTCAGATTTTCACATGCAAGTCCTCCATCACTGTTTGTATCCAGACATCAATGATGCTGCTTCTATACACATTAAAGGCCTGTGACAGCCCTCTCCTACAAGACCAAAGACTGGTAACAGAACAAAGCATCTGTTGAAGCATTTGCTCTCAATCCCTTGTGCCAAAAACTTCACTGAAAGGAGAACAGCGGGTGACTGCGATCTTTACTGGATCCAAGCACTGTTCACTGACACATTTGTGGTTTTGAACGTGTTCAGTAGCTTCTGAACGCGATGTCTTGTCTTACCGAGAGAATTGATTTAGCACATTTTGGAAATAAAAACAATAAACAAATGATGTTCTGGAGCCTATTGCACAAGGTGGTCGAACACACCCATTCTCTCTTTAAAAACAAATCAAGTTCTGTTCTTTTTAAATCGAAGAAGCTTTTTTCTAAGTTTTCTATCCTGCTAAATCTTAATGTAAGTCTAATTTTGAACTTATGTTGATATTTATGTCTAATAAAAGCTAGCACATATTAAGGACAGATTATGGAGATCAGGTTTCCTGAATACAAAGCAGGTTGTCTAGAGTTGAATCTAGAGCCTTCAAGGAGGCTGTAACTGGCGTCAACTGTTCCACTGCAGGGTTTTTACGTTTTCACTTTTTTTATTATATACCAGTTTGATTTTTTTATTTAATGAAAGCCAGCGCACTGCTACAGCCCAGGTACACGCAGGAGAACTAGAAAAGAAAACTTCCACACTGGAAGAGTGGCGACCTTCAGTGTCAGGCTCAGCACAAAGAACCCCAGGGTGACAACGGCCGAGTTAATTCATCAGAGGGAGGGCGGGTGACGGAAACAGAGCACAGCTTTACAGGGCAGAGCCCAGAAAACCGGCACTGCTCCAGTTGTACTCCATGGCTTTGGAAAATGCCCCTGGCACCTGAATAACGGCAGAGTCCGAATCGAACCAGCGGTTTAGAGCACAGCGCTCCAGCCGGTGCTGCCAATAAGTTCCCCTGCTGGCCGGGCCACTGGGGAGGCCGCACTGCACGCTTGATTCATGTTGACTTGCCTGCTGAAGCATTACCTGCTCAGCGGAGCTGCAAATGGTGTGCGAGCACTCCACCCGGCCTCTCGCTTCCATCAGGAGCCCATCGCGCTGGAACCGTGCCTCACCTGCATTAAAAATGAATGGCCCAGTTGGCTGGAGATGCACCGTGCGCTGAGCAGCATGGCCCTGCTTGTGTTGGTTGAAAGCTTGGAGGAAGGCCGGGGCCTGTCTGCCTCTACTTCTAAGATCATCAAGAAAGCTAGAGTCGGGAGAACCGCCTTAAAAAAATTTCAGGTCTTTTAAAACCTTCCGAAGGGCCATCACAGGCTGGTCTGTTTGTTTTTCTCCCTCCTTCCCAGAAGGCGACACACGGTCTGTTGCATTTTCAGAGAGGAAGGGCTTAACTCCGCTTGCTGCTCAGCAAATGGTTTTCTGCGTCTGTGTGTTCAGTTGCCTGCATAGCATCATTTGGGGTTTTATTTTCTGAAATGGATGAATGTGCCGCCTTTTTAAAAGGCATTTTGCATTACAGTATATTATGTCTCTCTACAGTGACTTGGTATTTCGTGTACCGTATGTGAAGCCTGAGCTGAGATGGTGGACCCCGGCCAGCTGTTTATCCACAGCTGAAGGGCGGCACAGACAGCCTGCGCTTTCCCACGTAGTCCCCCTGCCCATTCCCGCCGGCAGGCCCTCGCCCGCCGCGGCACAACAGCGATCTGTCCTTGCCCACTCAGTCAGCAGCAGCTGTGCAGAAAACACGACTCTGCTGCTAGTGGCGCAGGTTTCCAGCCGGGGGGGGCTGAGCAGGAGTCACACGGCCCTAACAGAGTGCTGCCACTCCCTCTCACTAATGAACCAGACCCCGAGACGAGGGAGGGCGCGGGAACATTGGGCATGGTGACCACGTCTGAGGATTCAGTCAGCGCACCTATTGGGAAATAAAAGTGCTGGAAACGGCTCCGAAAAACTTTGTTTCAGTGTGTTTAGTGTTGGTTTTCCTGTGCGTTCCTCTTGTTTTATTAGGGCCATAGGCGGTTTGTTTCTTTTTTGTGGTTGTACAGAATTCATAAGGGGTTGCTGTAGTCCTTCAGAAGAAAGATGCAGTGCCTTTTGAGGGGGTAAATGAATTAGTGCTTACCAACGGATAACAGATCTGATGTATTCTGACAGAAACCTTTATCAAACAGCTTTTCGTTTTTAATGGTGATGGCATACACAGATCTGCAGCACGCTGTATGGAGAGCGTTGCTCTGCTTTATAGCATACACTTAAGTTGACTAGGTATCAGTCTTTGACTTTGGACTACAAGTTTATCTTTATAAAGGAAATGTAGTTAAACAATTGCCATTGTAGATAGTGGACAAACTCACCTGTTAAAAGTATGTTTAGTTATTCTATTATTCTATTTAGCTCTTTTTCAGGTGGCACTTTTCTTAAGTATATACTTTATGCTGTAGTAGTAGTATGCTTTGTAGTTGTGATGAAGCTTCAATTAAGTTCTGTTCAACATTCATTTTCTTGACTGAATATGACCTTTTATTCCATAATTGGACAGATTGACTCCAAATATTAAGTCATTTAATATTGGTAAATGTATTTTTGCATATACATGTATCTGTATTGCAAGGGGTTCATGTAATAATATTGGACTTTCTGACAGAGTGAGATTAATAACCTTGTGCAAGGTGCTTTTGAAAAAGCAAGCAAAAAAAGGTTATGCGGGGTTTGTTAAACTGAACTTCTATAAAAGTGTGATATTACTCCATTGTTTCCTGTCTATATTTTTCACCTTGCTTTATCCTTTTCAGATCAGTAATAGGGATCTCCCTGCCCTCTTTCCAGGGCTGCAGAAATCTGCATTTTCTCTCCCTGCTTTCAGAATGAATATTGCTTGTTTAAATGTGTCTGTTGAAATGTGGTTCACATGGAGACGTATAAAAAGCACAAAATGAATAACCAAAATCAACTGATAACAGCCTGAGAAAATCTTTCAAATGCTCCCTGCTTCATTTGGAGAATGAAACATGTCCCTTCAGAGCTGCATCGGGTGACATACGTTCCTGTTATATGTGTGATGCCAAATCAAAGGTCACATTCCTGCTCAGTCCTACCATCTGTAGATAAAGGACTGGCCTTGCAGTCAGGGAGAACAGATGCAGCTTTTTCCACAGATGGACTTGTGCCTGAGGCGCAGTTTGATAACCAGTGCAGGGGTATGGGGTTTGTCTTGAGCTTGTCTTGCAGTTGGGACTGGAGCTGGGGACTGGAACAGACTGCTGGCTGGGGAGGAGTTTTCAGGGAGGGGGATGAGGGGGGCTGCGTTCATGCTTTAGAGAAGCACACTCCAGGCGACAGGTGAAATGTAGCGTGAAAATATCCCTTGGTGGCCTCCTGTCCCCTTCATCCCCTGATCAAAAGCGGTCATGATCCCATCTGTGTCTCCCTGTTTTGATGGCTAAAATTTTAAGGAAGCTTTTAGTTAACAGACAACAGTGCAGGAACAGAAGAACGTTTCCCCTGTCTGTAGCAATGTGCAGATTTTTGGCGGCTTGCTGAGTCTTTAAGGATCAGTGGTTTTAATAGCAAACTTCTTGGCTGGCTGCCACATGCCTAGTTTTCAGTCCCATTCTCTGCTAATCTAACATAACAGCTCG